ACCCCTCAAACTGGCAGCTTGAGCTCTGGTGAAGGTGCCCAGCTGCAAAATTTTGGTGATCTCCTCGTAGATCTGTTCCGCTCTGGACTCTTTGTTTCTGACGATCACTTTCCCTTCTTGAGCAGCTTGGAAGTCAAAGACCACGCCCAAAGCAGAAAAACTTAGGGACATCGGAAGCCTCTTGTTCTCCTTCTTGGAGTAACGCCACCCTAGAAGGTCCATCAGGCCTTCAGCAGTGGTTGTGGCATCCTCACCAGCCATAGCTACATCCAGTTGGGGAAAATCATCGTAGTAGTTAGACCATACCAGAGAAAAGAGTCGTGTACCGACGCAATGCAAGGCTCGGCTCACTCGGTTAAAGGCATAAACCGAGGCAGAGGCACCAAATGGCAAAACTTGGGAAATGAAGTATGCATTGGAGCCACTGGGCCTGCGAACTTGCAAAGCACTGCACCATAAAGACGACTCACGAACCAGGAGCTGCTTATAGGCAGCCTCAAGATCAAGCGTACGGCCTGCAAGCTGTCTGGCACTGGCCACGGAAAAGGAAGGGTGCAAGTACCCTTTCATCACTGACCCGTCACTCAGCTCTAGCTCAACAGTGCCATCATCAGCAACGGCTTCGATCATGGTGCGGGCCATCACGGATATTCCATCAACTCCATCCAGATCTAGTTTGTAGGCCGCAGCAAAAGCAGCATTGACAAGGCTAATGGACATGTCGTCTATCGGCCTGCACTTCTCCCCCTGCATCAATCCGAAACGGGGAGAGGCTACAAACAACGGCCCCAAGCGCTGCCTGATCTCATCCTGACTGAAAGGGCCTTGGAGCCATCCGCGCTGAACTTCATCCATGGTAGTGGCCCAGGTTTCTTCAACCACATTCAGGCCCTCAGCATGGCTATCCATGCCTTTGGCTGCCACCATTTTGCGACTCCAGCGAGAGGACTTCATAAGCTGCTCCCTGGACATAGCTGGCAGAGTGTCTTCTTCAAGGAAAAGGCTGCTGCAGCCTGACTGGCCAATTAGGCTAAAACCAGCCAGCAAATCTTCAAGAAGTGAATCATCCACTACACCAGCATCTTTCGCCATTTCAGAGAAAAGGAGGAAACGCTTGTCCTTCACGATGTTTGCTCGAGCCGGTTCCAACATAGCATGCAGGGCATTTTCCCGACTCTGGAGTTCCAGCTGTCTTCTCTTATAGTAGGCAAAAGCTTGGAGTCTTTTGTCTTTCACCCCTTTTGCCCCCAAGGTGTACAGCTCGAAAATGTTCCTCTTGACTGCATCATCAACGTAGCTGCTACCATCAAAAGGATGCGAAAGACGGAGGGCTGCTTCTACAAATTCATCTGGGGTTCGATAGATGCCCACCTTGCAGGATCTAGGGGTTTCATCGGCATTTTTGCTCACATCCGATACCGACCCCGCTTGAACACATGTGAGCAATTTGGCTCCACCTTGCACTCCCAGCAGGTCGCATTCATGACTTTGGAGTTTGCGGGGCACTGGTTTCGTGCGAGGCAAAGTGAAAGAAAGCTCACAGACTTCACGAAACTCTGGCAAGACTTCGGGGAAACGGTTTCCACGTGGTTGTTTGCCTGCCTGAGCCATGGCTAAAGGAATGGCTTTGCGGCGCTTGCTGGAGACGGCAGAAACATTTTGTGCCCCCAAAGCCTGAGCAGCTTTGTGAATTGCTTCTGAAATTCTTGAACACATAAGCTGAGGATACTCGGCTTCTTCAGCAGTGTTGAATCTGTGGCCTTTGGATGAGATTGCTACGCCCCAAGGAAGGTGATCATGCTGTTGGTCGCATTCCACCGCCATGTGGTCAAAGTAGGCATGATTAACGTACAATGAAGTCCACTTGTCACGACGGCCTCCATGCATGCATTGTTGAAATTTAACTTCGTGGAGGCAGAGGTCCTGGATCAAGGACACAAACCACTTTGTAGCCCACATCCAGCTGCGACTTAAGGGTTTTCGACGCTGATTAGGGCTCCAACCTCGTGAGCAGCTCGCAGCAGAATGCAAATGTTCCTGTAAATGGCATTTGCAGTTTGTACACGCTTCAAATCTGTGCTTCGAAGATGTGGCAAACCTTCAGGATGCAGCCCACTCCGCAAAGGCTTCGGCTCACGAACACCTGCTGCTCTCAGCCTCCAGGATAGCTTGCGTTCTCTTGCACGGCTTGCCGTGCCACATGGAGGTGCGCAGTGCAAAAATAGCACCACGCCTGGCTGTCTCAAAAGCGATTTGAGATACTGGACCGCTTCATCACTGGCTAGGTCAAGTGCTATGGTTGCATGCAACTGCTTATGGCGATTTTGCTTCTGGTCAATGGCCATGACTTTGAAGCCCCGGGCATATAAGGTTGCTGAAAGCCTTGCACATCCGGCACACAGCTCAATGCAAAGGAGTGAATTCATTGGAGCCCCTTGGAAAGTTGAGCTCTTCGGTGAAACTGAGGGCCCTGCAGCATCAGCAGGGCGTCACTGCTGCTCGCAGTTGTTCTGGCTGTGTGCACCTCCACATTTAGTGCACACATGACGGCCTTTCTCACATTTGCCTCCAGCTGAGGCGTTCTTGCAGCCTCTCAAGTTGAAGCTGAAGCAAATGGGCTCATTGTCCTTGGTCATGGCATTCTGCCCAATGAGCTCCACAGGCATACGAATCATCGACCGGGAACTTTGGTTGCCTTTGCGCCCTGAGCTCTTTCCCTTGCCTCTGCCCTTCTGCATGTTACGCACTTGACCCTGCAGATTCTCAATGGTCTTCTTGAGGCGCTCAGTGTCAGCCGAGGAGGACTTGCTTTTGGGTTGAGATGGCTTTGTATCATCATCCATCTCGAGCTTGCGCTTGGTGCCCGCAGGAAGTGGCTGGAGGTGAAGGCGTACCTCCGGCAAATTGATGATTGATTCAACAGCCTCCTCAACGGGCATCTTGCCCCCCACCGGACGGATACCAGCACGAGTCTGTTTGATGACCAGCTTCCAGAGTTCCAAATCTGCTTGCTGGATCTGCTCAATGCTCACCTTCTGGTACCCTGCAATCGGCGTCTTGGAGTAAGCCTCCAGGAGAATGTTGCTCCATTTCTCCAACTTGTCGTAGTTGCAGAGGCGACTTTGATCAATGGCTAAACTACGGCGCTGAAGTGCATAGCGGAGTCTCAAGTCAGACGAAGTGTCCGCCTTGATCTCTGACTCCACTTTGACCTGGCGAATGATGCCTTGGGAGTCAGGCTTCCATGTAGGGTCAACCTTGATACCCATCAGCTCTTGATCTCTTTTGGTGCACTGCTCCCACCGTATGTATCTCATCTGATTCTCCTCCACCATCTGAAACACTACATCAATGAGCCCATGTGAGGGTTCGAGCTCACCCGTCAGGTCTAAGCCTGACAGCCTAGCCACCTGGTCTGCATAACGAGAGGCCCTCTCAGCTTGCGCAAGGCGTCTTGGCGGATCACCCTCTCGCTGTTCGATGCGAGACCTCAGATCAGCATTGGCCAGAGTGTAACTTTCATAGAATAGCCTCCTCACTAAAGGGACTCTCTCAGATGGAGGAGGATCAGCATCACAAACACGGCTGATCAGCAACATGAGTGGCTGCTCATCAGCTTGTCCCGGTGTGTAGTTTGCTGCGAATGCAAATTTGCCAAAGGTGTTCACATTGGCTTCCTTGATGCGCCGAAGCTCATCGGGCAGCACACCGATCTGTTCAGCTCTGGACTCAAACACAGCTGATGAGTCCAACATGTTTACCTGAGTGCACCGCTACTGAACCCAGCTGCGGGGTCACTATTGATCATGCCATGTGAGAAACAAACAAAAGTGCGTGCACACGCAAAGAGCAACATAAACAACAAAACACAAAAGGACAAGAAAACCAGCAGCCAAAACTTACAAATCAAGCAAGGAAAACAAAGCTGGTCACGACATCAGATTTCTGTGCCTTACAAACAACTCTGCAGCTTCAAGTGTTACATCAACGACATCCGTTGGCCCGGAGCGGTCCTGATCGAATCTTGCTGCAGATTCCGTGGACTTCCCACGTGGCACCATCGCCTCACATAAACATGCAGTGGGGACAAGCTGAAACCCTCAAACAAAAGCTTGCCCTCACTCGCATGAAAATAAACTTAACCTGACTTCAGGTGACCGCACATGAAAGCACAGGTAATCACACATTTTCCTGTGCACTTAAACTTGAACACTTCCAAAGCACACTTTGCACTTTGGGAATGCCGCATCCGGGTCTGACTTGTATACATAATATGCCTCTGAAATGGCACGGCCGCATCCCGTGCGATCACTGTGGTCAGCATGGCCATAGTGCAACATCCTAGTTCTGGAATGCCTGTATACCTTCAAGGTGTCACTCTTCTCAGCTGGAATGGCACGACCCCTAAGACCACCAGCACTACCTTCATGGTATGCATCTATATAAGCATGGCTGAATTCACAATCTGATTTTGCAGTGCTGTCACTTGAATCACTGCTGCTACTATCATCTGAGACCAAGTCATCACTCGATGCCAAGCCTCTCAATGGGAACTCCTCAGTGGGCTTGAGATACTCGACCAGGCCCACGTCCGGGAACGGGGTTTGGCTCTTGAGCACAACAAATCGCCCATCAGCTTCCCGCATGGCAGCTGTCGTAGGGAACCAAGCATCCTCTTGGAAAATTCGTGCTGCATCCAAAACATCCAAACCAGTCTTTTCCAAAAACTGCCGCGTCAAGGGTTTACGTTGCAAGGCCGGAGGAAAAAGGCTGTCACGGGCTGCCCCCGGCACATAGACCCCGTCATGCACTTGCTTCATCATATCAACAAGCCGCCTGATAGGTTCACTCAGGCAATCCCGAATGTAGTTCAACGCAGATGAATGCTCCTTATTGACATGATAGCCAAGAAGCTCGCTCGTTGTCAGATCGCAACCCCAAGTGTTCATCCATGCCAGGAGGGTGGCTTTCAGCGAGTGGCTTCGAATGCCATACAAGTCATCCTGCGAGAACCCGCTGCCCAAAAGGCTGAGCAGTCGATCTGTAAGCTCAACTGAGCCTATGGGATTCTGCGTTTCATAGCCCAGCGAGCCCTTCTCTGGAACCAAAACGAAGTCCAGGTCATGCGCTTGGCTCTCCAAGGAAGGAATATCACGCAAGCCCAGATTGCTCCTAGCCTTGACAAACTCCAAAAACCAGGGTTTTCCCAGCAATCCAAAACTCGGCACAACCAAAGGAATGAAACTCGTGGCTTTCTCCTTGCTCTTGGCCGTCTTTGTCCTGGACAAGGCGCCCTCGAAAAAGCGGCCAATCAAAGTCCCATGTCTGGTTCTGTTAGCGTCACTGCAGCGAAGTCGCCCATAGCAGCAAAACAAGCACAAACCAGCGATCATCCTGTCATAGTCGTCTGCCACACTAAAACAAGCAATTTCCAGCCAGCACAACATTGTAGGAACCAGCATGTCAGCCCGGGAACGTGGTTGCCTAGTCAAAATCATTTGATGGCTGGCCCCTTTCACACGCTCGGAGCCTGCAGAGTCAATGGCTCCAGGAAACTTGAAAGCCTCGCCCACATACTTGAGGGTGCCCAAAAGCGTATCCACTCTTGAAGCAGACTGGCCCATCTGGCGACATTCACAGGCATATGCATAGAGCTTCGACTCAGTGAGGGGATATACCGGCTCATCAGGATAAGTATGAAGAAGCCATGCATAGTACATGCACAGTGATCCTACTCGTGTCCTGAGTGTAGATGTCGCCTTTGTGACGAAAAGGTCATTGAGGGTTGTCATTACCTTCAGCTCATCATCAGCACATTCCAGCAACATCTTTCCTGGAAGTGTGTCTTCAGGCATAATCATGAACAGTTCCGCCCACTTCAAGAGCAAAGAGCTGCGTGCTTGATCAGCTGCTTGACTGACATGTTGATGCACTGTATGCCTGACTTGAGCTTTCCTTTCAGGCACAGTCATCTTTGCTCTAACAGGCTGCAAAGTCGACGGCACATAATTCATACTTCTCATCATGGCAGGGGGTTTAAGCCAAGGAACTTCTGGAGGGCCCAAGACATCTCGAAGGAAAGGATTTGTCTCCCAAGGAAAACGAGGACCACTCGAAGGTCCACCCAATGCCATGGCTACATCTAAAGAGCGTTCAACCGCTTCAAGCCGGGGATCCCTTAAGGAGATGACATCCACCTTCCCAGGGTCAACATCTGAAATTCCCCGCTTTTTCATGATAGGACATCCCTATCTAATTGACATCGGTTCCGCCCACCCATCCCTATTGGGCCAATGGCAATGACACTCATGCTTCGTTCTTCAATCACTCAACAAAGACCAACAAAACAAGTTCGAATGGGCTCCTGTTTCCGTTAGCGGTTTCTTTTCATCAGGAGATGGTGTATTCTCTGGACAGTGATGAGACTCCGTACACGGCCCCTGTCAAGAATCGATTTACAGGAGATTGGGTCGCTTTGCACATGATGTCAACTATTTGTCGTCTGACTGGTCAACGCAATGCTTCATACAACTTTTTGAAGAATGGTGGTATGGCGTTCGCCCAGAACCTGAAAGAGTTGCGAGCATCAGATTTAGCACTTGCTGCCAGAGTGGTTGAACCAACGTGGGGTGACTCTCTGCAGCAAGTGCTGAAGAATGATGCCGTGCCTCGGAAGGTGAAGGCCTGCTTTGAAGCGATGCAGGCCGCGTCCGCCAATGTTGTCGGCACAGATGGACATCGTAGACATTGTCGCCATGAAGGGTGGGCTTACATGGAGATGTTTGGTCCTCCGTTGATTTTCTTGACCCCGAACATTGCAGACACTCAGCATCCCTTACTGCTAGTCATCCAAGGGGAAACAGTGGATCTGGGTGGAGTGGCTGCTGACATGCCAGGCACGCTGCCGAAGTACCGGGATATGATCCATCGCCTCGCGCAAGATCCGGTCACACTACACGACACTCCACTACACTCCACTACAAATTTGGTGGAGTGTAGTGGAGTGCAGTTGTAGTTGTAGGTGTAGTGTAGCGGAGTGTAGTGTAGAGTAATGTAGTGAAGTGTAGTGGAAGGTAGTGTAGTGTAGTGTAATGTAGTGTAGTGTAGTGGAATCTAGTGTAGTGTAGTGTAATTTAGTGTAGTGGAGTGTAGTGGAGTGTAGTTGTGTAGTTTTAGTTGTAGTGTTGTGGAGTGTAGTGTAGTGTAACGTAGTGTAGTGGAGTGTGGTGTAGCGTAAGGTAGTGTAGTGTAGTGTAATTTAGTGTAGTGGAGTGTAGTGGAGTGTAGTTGTGTAGTTGTAGTTGTATTTGTAGTGTAGTGGAGTGTAGTGTAATGTAGTGAAGTGTAGTGGAAGGTAGTGTGGGGTAGTGTAATGTAGTGTAGTGTAATGTAGTGTAGTGGACACTACTACATTGCACTACACTACACTCCACTACAGTACATTACACTACACTACCTTCCACTACACTTCACTACATTACACTACACTACACTCCACTACACTAGAAACTACACCTGCGACTACACAACTACACTCCACTACACTCCACTACACTAAATTACACTACACTACACTACACTAGATTCCACTACACTACACTACATTACACTACACTACACTATACTCTACACTACACTCCGCTACACTACACCTACAACTACAACTGCACTCCACTACACTCCACCAAATTACACTACACTACTACATTGCACTACACTACACTCCACTACAGTACATTACACTACACTACCTTCCACTACACTTCACTACATTACACTACACTACACTCCACTACACTAGAAACTACACCTGTGACTACACAACTAGACTCCACTACACTCCACTACACTAAATTACACTACATTACACTATACTACGCTACATTGCACTACACTCCGCTAGACTACACTACATTACACTACATTACACTACACTACATTACACTGAATGACACTGCACCAAAGATAGACAGGTAGACAAATAGACAGATAGATAGATAGATAGATAGATAGACAGGTAGACAAGAGTGAGAGAGATCAATCGCCTTTCAGTCCAGCAGTGGCTTCGCTCTGCCATCTCTGATTCACAACAACCAATCTCTCCTATAGGTTTCCTATTTTTGAAACTTCCACCGCCGCCTTGTGCGGTACTACTGGTAATTTTAGAGAGAGAGAGAGAGTGAGAGAGAGAGAGTGAGAGAGAGAGAGAGAGATTTGGTCCATATTGACGCCGAGTACACGCACTAAGTGCCCCCAATGATTTCTGAACTATCTGTGGAAAGGCAACGTGAACACGCGCAGTGCTCAAGCAAAACCTCTCTATAAAATCGACAAATTAGTCTCTATTTGGGTGTCCTTCAAACCTGAACTGTCCGTTTTGGAGTCCTGCGGTCCGCGGTACCTTGCGGTATAGAAAGTGGCACGATGTTTGGGGCATGTACCGACCAAATTTTGGAGTTTAGATGGCCAGGAGGCGGGAAACATATGAAAAGAGTCCAGTTTCTGGAACTTTTTGAATCTTTTTGATTTTATAGAGGCAATGGGTTCATATTGAAGCCGAGTACATGCACCAAGTACCCCTATTGATTTCCGAATCACCCACAATCCGTCCTGCGGAAAGGCAACGTCAACACGCGCAGTTCTCAAGCACAACCTCTCTATAAAATCGACAAGTTAGTCGCTACTGGGGGGCCTTTCAAACCTGAACTGTCCATTTTGGAGTCCTGCTGTGCCTCACGGTATGGAAAGGGGGAATGATGTTTACTGACCAGATTTTGGAGTTTAGAGCTCATGGAGGCAGGAAACATATGAACAGAGTCCAGTTTCTGGAACTTTTTGATTTTATAGAGGCCGCATTCAAAGGCACAACCTTTAAAAAACAACAAAAAGTTAATGCTTTTTTTTTGGGGAAGGGCTCCCAAGAGGTATCTGAAACAATCTAGAACTAGTTTGAAACCATCTCTATCTATCCATCTGTTTGTTTCTCTTTCTCTCCCTCGCTCTCTCTATCATCGAAGGAAGTTTAGAAGTCAAACTTCCGACAATATGGAGAGATGAAAAAGCAGTCAGCAGGGAGAAGAGTCAGAAGAGAAAAGACCAGAAGAAAGAAGATGCAGGTGCGCGAAAAGGTAGGAAAGTCGCGAAACACTGTGTTTTTTTGTGGTTTTGTGGCTCCGGAGGGTTGAAAAGTAGGCTCGCTAAAGCGGCGGGTGCGGAGACATCTGGGGAGATGAGAGATGAAAAGTTTGACGCCGTTGTGGCGCGAAGCCGATTTCGAAGTGAAAAGGTACAAAACACCTCAGCATCGGACCACTTTGGAAGTTGAGATGTTGAAAAAGTGCACGGCGTTGTGGCGCGAAGCACATTTGGAAGTAAAATGTCTTAAAAACTGAAGGATCGGACCACTTTTGGAAGTTGAGATGTTGAAAAAGTGCACGCCGTTGTGGCACGAAGCACATTTCCAAGTCAAAATGTGTTCAAAACTGAGGGGTTCGGAGCAGTTTTGGAAGTTGAGATGTCGAAAAAGTGCACGCCGTTGTGGCGCGAAGCACATTTCGAAGTCAAAATGTTAAAAACATGAGGGGTTCGGGCCACTTGTGGAGGTTCAGATGTCCAAAAAGGGCACGCCATTGTTGCGCGAAGCACATTTCCAAGTCAAAATGTACAAAGCAAACCAGGCGCGGACGACTTTTGGCACTTGAGATGTCGAAAAAGTGCACGCCGTTGTGGCGCGAAGCACATTTTGAAGTCAAAACGTTAAAAACACTAGGGGTTCGGACCACTTTTGGAGGTTCAGATGTCGAAAAAGTGCACGCCATTGCGGCGCGAAGCACATTTCGAAGTCAAAATGTTAAAAACACAAGGGCTTCGGACCACTTTTGGAGGTTAAGATGTCGCTTTGCTTCGCTTCACTACACTACAATACACTGCACTACACTACACTCCAATACACTACACTACACTACATTACACTCCACTACCCTAAACTACATTACACTACACTACGCTACACTACCTTCCACTACACTTCACTACATTACACTACACTACACTCCACTACACTACAACTAGAACTACACAACTACACTCCACTACACTCCCCTACACTACATTACACCACACTACACTACATTACACTACACTACACTCCACTACAGTACATTACACTACACTACCTTCGACTACACTTCACTACGTTACACTACACTACACTCCTCTACACTACAACTACACCTACGACTACACAACTACACTCCACTACACTCCACTACATTAAATTACACAACATTACACTACACTACACTACATTCCACTACACTCCGCTACACTACATTACACTACACTACATTACACTGAACGACACTGCACCACAGATAGACAGGTAGACAGATAGACAGACAGATAGATAGATAGATAGACAGTTAGACAAGAGTGAGATCAATCGCCTTTCAGCAGTGGCTTCGCTCTGCCATCTCTGATTCACAACAGCCAAACTCTCTTATAGGTTTCCTATTTTTGAAACTTCCGCCACCGCCTTGTGTGGTACTACTGGTATCTATCTATGTGGCACTCTGTCACATCCACCTTCGTTTCGCGTGGCAGGCGTGGCGCTTGGTCACGCCCACCTTCGTTTTGCGTGGCAGGCGTGGCACTTGTGGCACTGGGCTGGCTCTGGTGTCACACGCCATCTTTGTCACATACCATCTTTCACACACTTTCTCACACACCATCTTTGACACACCCTCTTTCACACACCATCTTTGTAACACACACACACAAGCCCCTGAGCGGTCAAGTGGTGAGGAACCACAGGGTAGCTGTTTGTATGCCCCAGCGTTCCACTCCTTGGTGTCGCCATAGCCTACACGACTGTTGACATCACGACGACTTCAACAAGCAGGGAACATTCTGGCATTTTCATTGGCTTCCTATACAGAATTTTGCATTGGTCTTTCATTTCATTGTGCTCACGGCCCATTGCTGACAGATATTTTGAAGACGCATCCATCAGAGCGCCAGCACTACTGCCTCGACTGGTTGGGCAGCCAGACTGTGATTGCAGGTTCCACCAGATCAGCAGCCAACAATACAACATTTTATTTACACTGTTTCTGCCACGGACTTTCTGCAGTGG